GTTTATATATATATATATTTATATATATGTATTTTTATATGTTTATATATATATATATTTATATATATGTATTTTTATATGTTTATATATATATATATTTATATATATGTATTTTTATATGTTTATATATATATATATTTATATATATGTATTTTTATATGTTTATATATATATATATTTATATATATGTATTTTTATATGTTTATATATATATATATTTATATATATGTATTTTTATATGTTTATATATATATATATTTATATATATGTATTTTTATATGTTTATATATATATATATTTATATATATGTATTTTTATATGTTTATATATATATATATTTATATATATGTATTTTTATATGTTTATATATATATATATTTATATATATGTATTTTTATATGTTTATATATATATATATTTATATATATGTATTTTTATATGTTTATATATATATATATTTATATATATATTTATATATGTATATTTATATATATATATTTATACATGTATATATATATATATATATATGATAATAATAGTTATGATAATGTATGAAATATAATACCTCTAATAATTAAATTATATCGGCAATTCCCTTTACCATTACATCGTGTAGGGTCATCGGCTACGTAATGCATTTGGTAGGTTCCAGGAGCAAGCACATCTCCCTGGCATGCTTCACCTGTGCAGGTGTTACTCATGATGGCGTCATTATCAGTCGCTGTTGGATTAGGCGAATTATACGTGTAAGTAGCCTGACCAGTTGGGATGTCCATCACTACGTCATTGCTTGGGCAGTCAGTGTATACCGGATGCTCGTTGTCTACAACATAAAATAAAGAATAAAATAAACCGTTATTCTGTTTTCTCTCTCTCCCTCTCTCTCTCTCTCTCCCTCTCCCTCTCTCTTTCTCCCTCTCTCTCTTCTGCAATCAGAATAAAGCTTTCAAATGCTCTAAAGTTCTCACCAATAGTTTAACTTGCGCCTGAAATGATTAACGTATGTGAAACAGTTTATTTTATCTATTTTTTTAAATATATTTTATTCTGGCATAAAAATAATACAAAAAGTAGCCAACGGCTAAAATTATTACATTTACAAAAATATAAAGACCAGAAATACAAGTATTGAAATTGCACAAAAACATTAAAATACAAATCAAGAATGAATATTTACAAAATACATAAAAGATTACATTAATTATATAAATATATAAATAAAAATTCTAATTCTAATTTTGTCTTTCGTACCTTTAACATGAACTGAAAATCTGCAGTAAGACGTCCCAACATCATTGGAAGCGCTGATGGTTACCGTTGTCACTCCCATTGGAAATGCGTCTCCCGACTGATGAGACCTAACCAGACTACTGACAGATCCACCTGCGTCACTGGTCGCGGTCGGGTCTGTCCACGTCACGTGCGCTTCGTTGCTATTCATGTCTGTGTTGACGTGTATATTACCTGGACAGTTGTGCATTTCAGGTGACGAGAAAGCTATAGCTAAATTCAAGGTTTGTCAATACAGTTAAAACACATCACAAACGAACGACCGAATACATTTAAATGCAAACATAAACCAGGGACCTCTGATTACACATAATATGCAAAGGGACCTTACCTTTAAAGGTATATTGTTGCTAAGGTCACGCGTGCGTTTGTCAGACAACACGTGTGTTTGAATGCAATGCGCGTATTCCTAGGATTAGCGTCTAATGCCCATTCATTTTCAGATTCAGATTCAGTACCATTTATTTCCATTTCTATTTTTTTTACAAAATTGTACATGGTGGCATCACCAAGAAAGCAACATGCATGCATTTCAAGTCGAATTATGAAACGTGATATGCTTGGCATCATGACCTCTGATGATTAGTACCCAAAATTCAATACAAACACGTATCATAATTTTTGAGTTATTGAGAGTATCTATACAATGTGCAGTAAATATCGTAGTCAAGATTTTCAAACAGTGCGGGACAATATCAGGGTGAATTTATTTTCTTAAAAGTTTACACATTTTACGCAAAACTATAAAAAATAATCTGGACCCGTTTCCTTAAAGTTTTACCAATTTTAGGTTAAATATGAGAAATCTGGACTCATTTTTCAAAAAGTGGACTATTTAGGCA